GAGGAAGAAGGGTCTTTGAGAACTTGACCCTCACGGTGGAGTAATGAGTAGCGGCTTGGATTGAGGAATCGGAGAGCAGAGTTCGAATTCCAGTCGAATCCATTACATTCACTTACGGGCTTTGGAAAGGTGTGCATCCTTTTCTTCTCTCCCGCTAGCTATGGGTAAATAGCAGGACAGACCGGGTTCTATAGCCTTTTATGGCAACTGGTCTACCGCAGAAAGAAACGGTAACCTACTGCGGGAAAAAATCTGCAAAGATACATGATCCCCTAATCGTGTATCACGCATGGCACATAACTGACTGACTTCTCACTAAAGTGTTCTCATTCTCTTTAGCTGTCAGTAACCCCTGGCGTCTTAGTGGCATTATAGCCTTGCTGAATGGAGTTTTTTTTTTTTAAATACATTAACGTACGCACATATGCAACTGAGAAGCAGAATCAATACAATATTTGCAAAAAAAAATTAAAAAAATTTTTTTTTACACGTGTCACTTTTCCCGTAACCATCAGAGCCACAGGGGTACCCTGTGTAATGCGGCTATAGTACCATTGGTGTGTCTAGGACAATTATCCTGTCCGTGCGCGTTTTCTTTTCAATCTCGACTTAAATTCATTGTTATTTCAGAGTTTCCCAGACTAATTTCTAATAACCAAACGCTAGAGACCTTAGCCTGTACTGCTATTAAACCTACAACAGAGGAATGAAGAAATGGTTTCATGCGTTTTTAATGGGTTTTTTTTGTGCGAAACTGAATGCAAAATCCTTGGCTAGAATTAGAAACCCGCTATACAAATGTTTTCAATTTCTGTTTTGATTTTTTTGTGCCCAATGTTTTTTTTACAATTTTCACATTTGTGTTCTCAGTAACCGTCTAATGTTTTAGATTTCTCATGACCCATGGAATGTTTATGTATCTGAAATTATAATATCTCTACAACTATAGATATATATTTCCTATATATCACCGTCCTGGGTATGACGATAAACTACGTCCAACAAAAAGGACTTTGATCAGAAGGTTTTGAAGAGCGTGGAACCACCTCTTAATTGCTGGTGTTCCCAGGTTACCGTTGATATATAGGTTTGGTTTGGTTTGGTTTGGTTTGGTTTACGGCATATCAACCACAATGGATTATTTAATACCGACAATATTTATTGCTGGTAATATATTTTTTTTTTCAAAAATGTATTGCTGAAAATAATTTTTTCCTAAAGTATTTCTAGTATTGAAACCTATTTTTACACTGTCATAGTGTTTTGAGGGTTATCTATTTGCCCATAGTTAGGACCCTAACGGGTGTTACCACCACGGGTCAGGGTGGACCTGGGAACATATTTTTATCGTTAAATTATTTTTATTTTATTCCTTAATAATATATATTTTTTCTAATATATTCTTTCTTAATATAAATGATCTAAATACGATTTATTGTTAATCTTCTTTATAAACATATTTTGGTATTTTTTAGTGGGAAAAATATTTTTATATAATTAATAATTACAAAGTTTCGTTTTATAAAACTCCTTTTTTCAGCTTTCCTTTAGTTTCTTTTCATCTTTCTTATAACCCAAATCTGGGGTCTTAAGGTTAATATCTGGGTTGAATTTGTGGGGCTTCTTTCCTTTTAAGAAAGATAACTTCCGCCATCCCCTTATCTCTATTCGGACAGTTTCATTAAAAAAAAAGTGACAAGGTACTGCGGTTAAATTTTTGTTTAATTTTTCTTGTGTTCTTATAATTCATTCAGTAAACCTTTCTAGGTTAGACATAACCACAATTTGGGGTCTTAAGGTTAATATCTGGGTTGAATTTGTGGAGCCTCTATTCTTTTAAGACGGATAACTTAAGCTCATCCCTTACCACTACTCGGACAATCTGCTGAAATTTGCATATGGGTAGGTTCTGTACCAAATTTTCAACTGCTGTCTTTGTTAAATATTAAATTTTACATCACTAGTTCCGACACTGAATAGATTCCAACCGCCTGGATTGAATAAGACTGACGTACTCGGCGCCAGTTGAAATAGACTATACCCATGAGGTAATTTCGGATATATATATATATATATATATATATATATATATATATATATATAACGAAAATCTTGGTAATCTGTATGGATAATCCCAAGGAGGAAGAAATCCTAAGAGCTCAATTTTAATTCAGAGCAAATAATTTAATTTAAAGAAAAACAGACCCCTTTAAGGCTTCATTGTAATAATTTATTTCACCAGAGATTTTTCCCTGGATTTTCAGACATCACTTTCAAAAGGTGAAACGAAAAATGAAATTAAAATTTACACTTTTGACGGGCAGTATTATGCTTACATATGTTGACATAGATGGTAACGAGGAATGGTGTAAGAGAAATGGTCGAGTTTTGAGAGGGAAGGGAGAGTTTTAAAATTTATTTTTATATTTATTTTTATTATAAAACTTAATATTGAGGAAGGAGTGGGTAAGGATCAGACATTGACCTATTTAATCGGTCAACTCAACGGAATTGATATGTAGAAAGGAAAGGAGAAAAAGGAAAAAGAAAAAAATGGGGAAGTAAAGAGAAAAGAGATGTACGTTGGGTTTTAGGAGGAAGAAGAGGGGTGGTATAGCTTTAGCAATTTAGATAAAAACAGATTTTAACGTTTATATATATATATATATATATATATATATATATATATATATATTCATTTTCATTCATTATTTTCCATATGTAACAAACTGTTAGCGTATGAGTTACAATCGCATACAAGATGTGATGGATAAATTGTAGCCATTTTATATTTTTAATTTAGCGCTTGCGCGTTGATTGTTTTGGATTTTGTTGACTAAACATTATAATATGGTCAGTTGGGCATAATTTGTGCGAAAAGAAGCACCATGACACAACTTAGTCCGCCAGAAATTTGGAAGCAGCATGCTTTACTGCTTGGCATTCCCGCCAGAATCTCCCCTACAAACATTTCAGAGTGTTTGGGTGTCAATCCGAGCCGTCCTGGGTATGACGATAAACTACATCCAACATTAAGGCCTCTGATCAGGAGGCTTTGAGGAGCGTGGGCCACCTCTAAATTGATGGTGTTCCCAGGTCCACTCTGACTCGGGGTGGTAGCACCTGTTAGGGTTCCAGCTATGGGCAAATAGTTAACCCCCAGACTGGGATCAGAACACTATGGGCTATTATGTGTCTTTCGATACATGACTAACGATTTTTCTCGCAGTAGGTTGCCATTTCTTTCTGCGGTATACTGGTTCCTAACCAAGTCTTAAGAACCTAGTCTGTATGTGTCTATATTTCTGAGATGAGGTATTATATAGACTATTTACATTATTCAGACTATTGTCCTCATCTTTGTTGCCATATTTATTACAACGTTTCGGCCGTTGGACGCTCCGACCTTCTTCAAGTGGTTGGAATGTCGACCTGAATCCTTCATTTCCCTCACTGGGATAGACTGTTCTAGTTCTAGACAGGACCCAAAGTGTATGAGTTCAATACCAGGTTATGGCAATGGAGATCTTGGAGAGGAGAATTAACAGGAGATAACTGATGACTGACAACCATTAAACATGGCACGTAGAGCTAGAACAGTCTACCCCAAAGTGTGTGAGTTCAATACGAGGTTAAGGCAATGGAGATCTTGGAGAGGAGAATTAACAGGAGATAACTGATAACTGACATCCATTAAACATGGCACGTGTAACTAGAACAGTCTACCCCAGTGAGCGAAATAAAGGGTTCAGTTCGACATTCCAACCACCTGAAGAAGGCCGGAGCGTACAACGGTCGAAACGTTGTAATAAATATTGCGTCAAAAATGGGGAGAATAATCCGAATAATGTAAATAGAGAAACTAGTCTGTATAGATATTTAACCCATAGCTGGGGGAGAAGAGATGGATTCATACCTTTCCCAAGGGTATTTGTGCGTATGTAAATCTGATGAATTCGACTGGAATTCGAACTCGGCTCAGAATTCTCACGCCGAACCGATATTCATTCACCAAAACGCACATCCCCTTACACTACAGCCCACATGTCATCTGCGTATCTTATATTGTTAAGATTTCGCCTACCGATAATAAATACTGGTGAGGTTTCCAATTCCCATAGGGTAGCGTCGCTCTAGAGATTGAATACAATAGTATGAAAAGCGACCGCTACATGAGCAATAATCTGGCACGCAACCTTGCCAAGCCTCGGACTATGGGAGGATCTGAGGAAATTTAAATGCCTTCATTTATCGTCATCGTCCGTTTTGTCTCTTTATCTTGATCTCCCCTATTCCCCCCCCACATTTATCTTCCTATTTGTTTCTTCTTTCCTATTCCTTTTTTAATAGGCGCACAAACTCTAATTCTACGATTTTACCAATGACACCACATTTCAAGGGTCGGCTGGGCTTGTCTGTAAATGATAGAAAGCAAGCTTGAATTTAAAATAGAAGATAAACAAAAAGATTAAAATGCCTTATCTGTCAGTGCCAAATATTTGTCACTCCGATCCACAGACAACAGACCATTCCAAAATACAGACGGCACCCCTGAAGATTGAATCGACCGTCAACGTCACAGAACACCTTCCCAGTGTCTGTTTTACCAGCACTAATAAATAAATAAGTAAAATAAAAGACTTTAAAATTGTTCCGAGTCTAAACGTCTCGTCCATCTTTTGCCAGTATATTAAAGCTTAGATAAGAAATCTCTCAGAAAGAGGAACTGTGAGGAACTGTGAAATTTTGAAAGAAATATAGCATTTTGGTATTTCAAGCGGGTACCAAGAGAATGGGAATCTGGTTTGTGGCACTGGAGTTTCAAAAATATAAGAAGAAGGAAAGTCGTTAGAAAAAGATGAAGAAGAAGAAGAAGATTTTAAAGGAAAAAAGAATGAAAGAAGAAGAATTAAAAGAAAAGAAAATGAGAGAAGAAAAGAAGATTTAAAAGAAAATATAATGAAAGAAAGAAAGAAGAAGAAGAAGAAGAAGAAGGCGACTTAAAAGAAAATAGAATGAAAGAAAGAAGGAGACTTAAAAGGAAATAGAATGAAAGGAAGAAAGAAAGAAGAAGAAGAAGAAGAAGAAAGAGACTTAAAAGGAAATAGAATGAAAGGAAGAAAGAAAGAAGAAGAAGAAGAAGAAAGAGACTTAAAAGGAAATAGAATGAAAGGAAGAAAGAAAGAAAGAAAGAAAGAAAGAAAGTAAGAAAAAAGAAAGAAAGAAGAAGAAGAAGAAGAAGGAGACTTAAAAGAAAATAGAATGAAAGAAAGGAGAAGAATTTAAAAATGGAATGAAGAAGAAAAGGATTGAAAGAAAGAAGCTGAAAATAAAATAAACAAAGAACAAGAAGTTTATATAGTTTGAGATGAAGAAGAAAAAACTCTGATATCGTTGAAAGAATTACAGTAAGTAAAGAAAATAAAAGAAAGACGAGGACGAGTAAGATAGGTTGAGATAAAATAGCTGAAAAGAAGCAGTCTGAAGAAGAAGAAGAAGAAGAAGAAGAAGAAGAAGAAGAAGAAGAAGAAGAAGGGGAGAGGGAGGAGGAATATATGTTTCATAAACCTAGTTAGAGAAAAAAAGAAAAAAAGAAGTGAAAAAATGACGTGAAACCGAAGAATAAGTCCATGGTAATGTCTAACAACAACAAAAACAACAACAATAATAATAATGATAATAATAATAATAATAATAATAAAAACTACACTTTACCTCAATCATAAAAATGGAACCTATAAGTCTGGCGAAATAAACATCAATAGAGGAATATTTCAAGGTGACTCTTTGTCTCCTTTATTATTTTGCATATCACTTATAGCATTAACCAGCCAACTTAACAAGACAGAATGCGGTTACAAAATAGCTCAAAAGAAAATAAACCATCTATTTTACATGGATGACTTAAAATTGTATGCTAGGAATGACAATGAGCTGGAAGGTCTTCTGCAAACTGTAAAATGCTTCAGTGAAGACATTGGAATGAAATTCAATTTGGATAAATGTGCTAAAGCTACAGTTTTACGAGGATCGCTACAACAAACTTCCTCTATTAGTTTAGACCCTGCTGTAACAATAAAAGATTTAGAACAAGGAGAAGCTTATAAGTACCTAGGTGTAAATGAGAGTGAAGGAATTCACCATAAGAAAATGAAAGAAATAGTGCGTAAAGAGTACTATAGAAGGGTACGACTGGTATTAAAAACTGAATTGAATTCTCAGAACAGAATTATGGCCATTAATAACCTTGCCATCCCAGTGGTCCAATATAGTTTCAACATCTTGAACTGGACTCTAAATGACATCAGACAAATGGATTCTAAAACAAGAAAGCTTCTTTCTAAGTATAAGATGCATCATCCAAAGGCTGATGTAGACCGTCTATACATACCCCGTAAAGAAGGTGGAAGAGGTCTTATTCAGCTAGAATTGTCATACAAGACAACAACTATTGGCTTACTAACTTACATGGAAACAACAAATGACTGGATGATAAAATTAGTGAAACAACATGAAAACAGAAAAAAAAGTATTCAATAATAAAAGAAGGCAGTAAATACAAACAACATTTACATTTAGTAGATTCTGTAGTAAATCAAAACAGAAGCCAAGAACCAACTATTGCAGCAAAAGATATGAAAAAAGAAAGCCAAGGATAAGCCCCTTGAACAGATGAAACAACGCTGGCAAGACAAACCTCTGCATGGCCAATATCCAGAACGTGCAAATAAACCCAATGTTGATAAAGTTAATACTCATCGATGGTTACGAGCATCTGGATTAAAGTCTGAAACTGAAGGCTTTATTCTTGCAGCGCAAGACCAGAGTCTTTTCACTAGGAATTTTCAGGCAAATATCATACATAATAATGTGGATCCAAAATGCAGGTTCTGTGACAAATACCAAGAAACAATAGACCATCTAATCTCAGGATGTTCTATACTTGCCCCAAATGAATATAAAAATCGTCACGATAGAGTGGGGGCAATACTTACACTGGACAATGTGCAAACACTTTGGAAAATGTAAGCAAACACTGGTATGAACATCGGCCAGCGCCGGTTACAGAAATAGAAGATGTCACCATTCTATGGGATTATACCATCCACACAGACAGAAAAATTGAAGCAAATAGGCCGGACATCATTGTCAAAAACCAGAAAGAAAAAACTTGCCTACTAATTGATATGGCTTTGTCCAGCGGATTGTAACATAGCAACCAAGGAATTTGAAAACTATCAAAATACAAAGACCTGGAAATTGAAATAGAAAAATGTGGAAATTGAAAACAAGAATAATACCAGTGGTAATAGGTGCACTTGGAATTATAAAAAATGGAACAAAACAACACATTGAAAGAATCCCTGGAAACCCCAGCTTAAGAGACATACAGAAAATTGTCTTATTAAGTACAGCACACACACTAAGGAGAACTTTGTCTATGTAACGCTAGCAACTTCATCGGAGATAAAAAAAAAAAAAAAAAAAATTAACATGAAATGTGGCCATAACAACACACCACGACCTGCCTTAGGTCTTTCCGCAGACTTGGTAGGTAGTGTGTCCATAGCAGAAATCGAATGATGATGATGATAATAATAATAATAAGAAGAAGAAGAAGAAGAAGAAGAATAAAAAGAAGATCAATAATTCCAGCTGTAGTTAGAAACCTCGTATTGATTGGAAAAGTTCGATAGACCCATTGAAGCGTTTCTTGGTTGCCCATGCCTTAAAGAAATGTAAAACATTTTACTCACAAGTACAGATCGCACATTACGAAGCGCAGTATCCATGTAAAATGCCATAAAGCCATTTCTGACCTTTTGTTTCTGGTTTGGACCCGGAAGGAAATGTGTATACAACAGAAATCAAAGGAAGAAATAATAATAATAATAATAATAATAATAATAATAACAACAAAAATTGCTGTATCTCTAAACTGAGAAGTGGAAGCTGAAATACGATCGTTTATCACCTGGCCGAAACACATAAGAGACGGAGAGGATCAAATCAAACAACAACAACAACAACAACAACAACAACAACAACAACATACTAGATAATGGTATGTGTCAAAGAACATGAAAGTAGTAAGCGTCTTTACACCGTAATAAAGGAAGCCAACAAATTTAAAATGGAGCATCAAATAGGTGCTGAAATACAAGTAAAGCACAATACACCGACTGAAGCTGCAAAATACTTAAAAAAAGAAAGTAAAGACAAATGCAACCGACCAGATAGAGAAACAATGACAAGATAAACCGCTTCATGGCCAATACTCTGCCCGTATCAAACAAGATGACGTAGACAAAAACCGTACCAGTCTTTGGTTACGTAGTGCAGGGTTAAAAGCTGAAACCGAAGGTTTTATCCTTGCTGCAAAGGACCAATGCTTGTTAACGAGAAATTACCAAGCACACATACTGAAAAATTGTGTTAGCCCAAAATTCAGATTCTGTGATAAATATCCAGAAACAATTGATCATCTTGTATCAGGTTGTACGGTATTGGCACCCACTGAATATAAAACCCGGCATGACAGAATTGGCCAATATCTGCACTGGAAAATATGTAACTTCTACGGGATGGAAACTGAAAGAAACTGATATGAACACCACCCAGACCCGGTTACGGAGATAGAACCTGTTACATTTCTATGGGACTACTACACAATACACACTGACAGAACCGTCTAGACAATAAAGTGCCTCCTTATTGATATGGCAGTCCAACCAGACTGTAATGTATCTCTGAAGATCAAAAAGCTGTCAAAATACAAGGACCTTGAAATCGAAATCTTAAAAATGTAGCACATAGGAACATCAACAATCCCTGATTGGAAAAGATTCCAGTAGACTCATTGAAGTGATACCTAGAAAACCATGCCTTAAAGAAAAATAAATAAATAAATAAATCGTTCTCATAATTACAGCCCACACCTTACGAAGGTCTTTATCCATGTAAAATACGTTTGTAGTTGTTTTTTTTTTTTTTTAAATTGGTCAGTGGAAAATATCATGATGCCATTTCTGATCTTATGTCTCTGGGCAGGACCCGGAAAGAAATGTGTACACATCAGAAATCAAAGGAAATAATAATAATAATAATAATAATAATAATAATAATAATAATTATGATGTTGTTGATGATGATGATGATGACTGATAATAATAATAATGATAATGGAGAAAATGCAAAAGAAAATTATCATGATGTGAAAAACAAATAAGAAGTAATTAACAAAAAGCAAGAAAAAATGAAGATGATGCAAAACAAGGAAGATGAGAAGAAAATAGAGGGAGGTGAAGAAAGAAATAAAGAAAATGGAGGTAAAAGAAGCAAAGAAGAAGAAGAAGAAGAAGAAGAAGAAGAAGAAGAAGAAGAAGAAGAAGGTATCTCAAATTCAAAAATTCCGTAATTACAACCTAACAAAAATGAAAACAAAGTACAAAGTTCAATAGGCGCTGAACAGTAATGATTTCTAAAAGCCTTTTTTTTTATTTGAAGTAGGATTATGACTAAAAGTAGCAACACCTTAACTCGTAATAAAGTTGACGAAACCTCTACGATCGAGCATTAGTAACTTCACGAATCTCTGAGACGATAATGGCAATGGTATTGTAGAGTCGACTTGCTGTCACTCGATCTCGGATAGTTAGTTGATTTAAAAATAAATCAACCCCTGTTGGCTTATTTAATGTCGAAATATGTTTTTGTTTAAATTTAATTAATTTATTTATTTTTGAGCCATTTAAAGGTCAGTATAGATCCACCTGAAAAGTGACCCTAGAGTCGACCTCTACAAAGGATTGCTGGCAGGGTAATTACGGTAGTTACAACCTGAAATCTGAAGTAACAAGCAAATTAAAGAAATAATAATAATAATAATAATAATAATAATAATAATAATAATAATAATTGTAATGTATCTTTGAAGATCTTCAAAAACTATCAAAATACAAGGATCTTGAAGTGGAAATCTAAAAAATGTGGTACATGAGGATATCAATAATTCCAGTTGTAGTTGGAGCACTCGGATTGATTGGAAAAGGTTCCGATAGACTCATTAAAAGGATTCCTTGGAGCCCATGACTTAAAAAAAAATGAAAAATATACTTTTATGCACAAGTACAGCTAACACATTACGAAGAGCTTTATCCATTCAAAATGCGAGTGAGCTTAAGTTTGTTTTTTTTTATTTTATACAAAAAATGATCAGTAGAAAAGATCATGAAGCCATTTCTGAACTGAGGTCTCTGGTTGAGACCCGAATAGAAATTTGTATACAACAGAAATCAAAGGAAAACGAAATACTACTACTACTACTACTACTACTACTACTAATAATAATAATATGTTTTTTGCTAAATTAATTAAAAAAAAATCACATCCTTTGCTTGCCCGAGGTCATTAGTTCTGACCCGGCATATTATTATAAGTGCACGTCGGAAAGCATTTTTTTAAATAATAAAATGAAGAAAGACTTTGAAATACTTGCTGAATATTTGAAAAACACATTCTGACATGTTTTACAAAGTATTTCCATGGTGCATCCATGACCAATGCATTTCTATACTAAATTCTACTCGCAACCATTGGAGATTTAACATTTCCTTAACGGACGCATTTCTTGCTAATTTTCTCTATATTTCTGTAGTGCAATTGTTAAGAATTCATTTATAATACACATATGATTTCCATATTCTACCAGCAAATATTGGTATTTGGGCAGTCATCACTCTTTGATACAAGCTTCGTTAAAAACATAATAAAAAACTTAAGCGCAGTACCTGGTCAGTCCTTTTTGACGAGACTATATTATATATATATATATATATATATATATATATATATATAGAGAGAGAGAGAGAGAGAGAGTAGTAGTAGTAGTAGTCGTTTGGAAAACCTTGCATAACGCAACTTGCAAATATGGAGGGACAAATCGGTACCCGAGGAAAAAATAAAAAAAGAAAGAACTATAAACATCAGAACAAGACGAAACAAATCGCCAAGTGCTTTAAGTTCTTGGTCCTAAGAAAAAAAAACATACAAGTAGTAAGATTAAAACGTAGAATGCTCAATATGCTAAGTAGAGCGATAAACTAGAATAAATCCTAAGGGGACAAACAAACATACCTAGGTTTCACCTAAACGGATCTTCAGGGTAAACTGGACAGTTTGCCATGAAGATCCGTGAAAACCTATGTAGGTTTACCTGGCTCCTTAGAATTTATTCTAGTGTATATATATATATATATATATATATATATATATATATATATATATATATATATATGTGTGTGTGTGTGTCTATCTCCTCCCTCCTTTCCATTTTTCCTTTTCTTCCCCCCCACTACCCTACCATTGCTATATATCATTTCCGTTAAGTTAACCATCTAAATAGGTCACTCATCCTACCCCCAATATAAAACATGCTTAAGAGAAATATGAAATTAACCCCTCTCTATACTCTATCTTGTCTCGTTAACTACAACTATCACCCTCCCTGTTAAATTACAAAATTACACTACCCATCAATTTCTAATCCATTTTTTCCTTTCATTTCGTTGTTGGAAGTATTACCTGATGATCCGGAGTCCTTCAAAAAGGATTTTGGTGAAATAAATTATTGTAATGGTACCTTCAAGTGGTCTGTTTTTCATTAATTATATATATATATATATATATATATATATATATATATATATATATATATATATATATATATATATAGTCAAAGAGAAATTGCAAGGTTTTTCCAGGTTAATCATCAAACGGTTAATAATGTTGTCAAGAAATTTAATGAAGAAGGCCATTGTTGTGTGGAACAACGGTCACGAAGACCAAGCATCGTGTCTGAGCGAACGAAAAGGGCGTTGAAGAGGGAAGTCATCGTCAAAGATGTCGCCAAAAGAATGGGAACGTCGCCATATGCAGTGAGAAAGAGCTAGGCTATCAAAGAAGTGTTGCAAGAAAGACACCCTTGATTTCAGATGTCAACAGGAACCTTCGTATGGACTGGGCGAGAGAATTCGAGAACAAAGATTATGAATTTTGGCAGTCTGTAATTTGGTCAGATGAAAGTAAATTCTGCCAATATACGAATTCAAGACAGGTTTATATTTGGAGAAATCAGAATGAGACTTGGAACACTGAATGTCTGCTGGCGACCGTGAAACATGGAGAGATTGGAGTAATGGTGTGGAGCGCTGTCTGGTTGGGAGGGAAATCTGAGCTGATTCTTGTTGACGTGCGGTTGAATGGTCGAAAATGGTGTCAAATATTAGAGAAAAGACTACTCCCATTTCCATGTCTACCTTTTTTCAAGAAGATAGAGCATCAAATCATACAAGCGAAGTAGCAAAGGCCTGGAAGGACTCGGAAGGAATCAAGTCACTGCCATAGGTAGCCCCAAATCCTGACATGAATCCAATAGAACACATTTGGAAGCACCTTCACAAAAGACTTCCAGAGCGGGCAACGTAAATGACGTCAGTGGCAACCCTTAAAGAACCATTGCTAAAGGAGTGGCAAAATATGGCTCACACGATGGTTGATAACTTGATCAAATCCATGAAAAATCGAATACAAGCACTGAAACTAGCAAATGGAATATCTACTCCATACTCGGTCCCAATACTGTTTGTTTATGTTGAATAGGGATTATGTAATTAAAGTTTAAAAATTGAATGTAGTTTATTTCCCCAGGCTAAAAACTTTTCTTAGGCCACTTTATATGTTATATTTAGTGGATATATATGTTGGAGTAGACATCACTGATTTTTAAACACTATAAACACGCTTATCCCTGTGCATACATATGTGTGAGTATCAAAAAACTTTAATGCATATATTTGAGTGATACACTTGAACAAAACACAATTTATATATATATATATATATATATATATATATATATATATATATATATACACTACAGTTCAAAAAGTTTGAAGCCATAAGTTTTAAATTATTGTATTAGTTATGGAAAAGATAAAATTATTGTACAAAATTTTTATCTGTATATATATATATTTTATATATATATATATATATATATATATATATATATATATATATATATATATATATATATATATATATATTCTATGAGGAATATATATATATATATATATAATCTTACAGAGGACAAATATTATATATGATTTTACATGACCCTTAAGTAACTACGTTCCTAAAGAAACTCAATCTATGAATAAATATATTGGATATACAACTAAATATTTGCAGATCATAGCTTAACTGGAACACACGGAAACTTACGAAACTCGATCCGCAACATAGAAAATAAGACAATGGTAGCTTCACACAGTTCAATCGGTGGCTGGGTATTAAGTCATTTTTCTCTAACCCTGTCCATCTGGTGGCTAGACATGACATCATTTTCTCTACCACGGTGCTCAGGTATCAAAGGGTTAACGCTGTGTAAGTTAAAGTAGGCTATGGAGGACGTTAAGTGATATAATTTACTGTCTGATAAACGAAAGTGAGTAGATGTTGAAGAATGTTTATTTTTTAACCTAATTATTATTTATTGTTTATTTTAATTTGGTAAATTATGTATTTATTTATTTGAAGTAATAAGTCTTCAGTTAACCGTTTTCTCTTAAATTTTTAAAATGATGACCATAAAACTATTAAAAATTAAAATAAAATGACTATGTCTTGGCTGCAGCCTACTTACGATTGTGTTGAGGTATTACCACTGGCAAAAGAATGACATTATTTTTCAGAACCAGAACTTTTTTTATTTTTTTAAGCGTTTCACCCCAAGCAAAGCGGGAAGCCACTAGCACACAAGGGGTTAGAGAGAGCAAAGAAGAGTGATGGAGGAAAGGATGAAGAGAAGGATAAGGGATAGATCAAGGCATGTGGAGACGTCGATTGACATTACATTTGAATAATTGGAGATTATAGCTATCAGGGAAACAGGAAAAGGGGAGGGAGTTCCACAGGCGAGAAGTGCGAGACATGAAGCTATTGGAGTGGAAGAGACGGCTACATTTAACAGTTTTGACAGTGAAAGGGTGGGAGCGAGATGCCAGCTTGAATTCATGAAGTCTGGGTACCAGCGAAAGCAGCTCTTCGGGGCAGTTAGCATGAAAGTATTTGTAAAAAAAAAAACAAAAAAAAAAACAGAGGAAAGCGACGGCACGTCTGTGTGAGTGCAACTGCAGACAATATGCCAGATCAGGGCCAGTTACATTGCATATCCGTCTCTGGATTTTATCGAGAATCTCGAGACAAACAGAAGGGTCCCAAGATCATATATGGCAGCAATACTCCATCCAAGGACGAATAGTTGATTTGTAGATTTGAAGGATCGATTCCTGTGGGAAAAATTTCCTGGCGCGGCACAGGGAGCCAACTTTCCTTGCGGTGGACGAAGCTATTGACTCAATGTATTCTTGATCAAAAGCGTTAATGTAGTTTAGGAGCATTAAATAATCCATGTATTAGGCCCAAATGCATTCGACGCAAAAATTTGAACTGTGATTATAGATTTATTTGTTTCCAAATCCTGTTCTATCACTGTTTAACTATCAGGTCATCCCATAAGTTCTGACCAAATTTTAACTTTTTGTTAAAATGAACGAAATTTAAAGAGTATTTTATAATGTCTAATGGAACTAAACATTATTTTTGTTTAGATGCGTTTAAACTGATCAAATTCTATTTCAGAGAACAATAAAATTAAATTTTGTTTGATTAAAACCCTGCTAACATGGAAGTACCCAAGAATCATTTGAGGCACATAATGCTTTATGAGTTCAAAAAAGGAAACTCAGCAGCCGAAGCGGCTAGAAACATTCACTCAGTTTATGTGTGAATGAAAGAACTTGCAGAAGATGGTTTGCAAAATTCAGAGATGGAGATTTCAACCTTGAAGATGAACATCGAACCGGACGTCCAGTTGAGTTTGATGAAAAGCTTCTTGAAGCAGTCCTTGAAGAAAATCCTGCTTTATCAGTTGAGGAATTGGCAGTGGTTCTCAATTCAAACCATACAACTGTTCATCGTCATCTTCAACAACTTGGAAAAGTTCCTAAACTTGGAAAATGGGTACCTCATGAATTGTCTGAAAACAACCTCAAATCGAGTTGACATCTGCTCTTCTCTCCATTCTCGCCAACTTCTTTCACCTTTTTTTTTTTGGATAGACTTGTGACTGGCGACGAAAAATGGATCTTTATCGAAATGTTAAGCGTCGTAGACAGTGGCTTAGTAAAGGGAAGGAACCCAGCCACAGCCGAGAAGGGAACTTCATGGCAAAAAGGTTTTCTTTCAATCTGCTGGGATCGCCAAGGGAATAATCCACTTTGAATTCTTACCACCTAATGCAACAATTAATGCTCAAATATACTGTCGCAATTAGAGCGTTTGAACCAAGCTTTGAGGAAAAAAAAGACCTGCTCTAGTGAATCGAAAAGAGGTGATGTTTCATCAGGACAATGCGCGACCCCACACAGCAAGAATCACGTCACAAAAGATCAAAGAACTTAGTTGGGAGAAAATTCCTCATCCACATTATTCTCCCGATCTTGCTCCTTCAGACAACCATTTGTTTCGTAGCTTACAGAATCATTTGGAAGAAACAGCTTTTGTAACACAGGAAGAGGTTAAAATTGACATTTGTATGTTCTTCGAATTAAAGCCCAAAGAATTTTACAGTAATGGAATTAGTAAGCTTGTTAATAGATGGAAAGAAGTCATAAATAATCAGGGAAAATACATTGTTGATTGAATCTGTAATTAAATGTAACATTTGGTCACTTGATTTCTTTATTCAAAATTCGGACACAACTTATGGGATGACCTGATATATTAAAGTTTTATTTAATCAGCCTCCCCTCGGAGATAAGAGCTTTTCTAAAGACAAAACATTAAAATAATTTTTAATGCAATTTTATGACAAAAAAGGAAACAACAGAACTTATTTCTAATTAAATTTATTACGTTGCTCTGTTTGCTGTGTCAGTTTATATGTAATCATTAAAGATTGACAAATTTTCCATCGCCTTTTTGTCATAAATTCTACTCTTAATATTATTTTATGACAACTAAAAACGAACAAGTTAATACAAGCTGTTCTAAAAGTACTGCTACTCGTCAGTATAACAAATGGTAACAATAATAGTAGCCGTTTCCCTATAAGGAAACATTTAGCGTTCATTGACCAAACAGCCAGTACATCTGTCGGTTGGAATTTCTAAAAAATTATTTCTGTTAAAGAAAATTTTCCAGAAAATAGGTTTCGTCAAGTCCAAGAGCTGTTATTGTTCTCTCCGGTATTGCTAGCAGTTTCCTTTCTAACCTTTTCTTTGAAGTCATGTGGAAAGTCAGTATCTTAATTACGTCATTATTTTCTATTCAGTTACATGTACTGTATATTTAAGTTGTTGCTGCTGTTGGTAGTACTCAAGTGATGGGTTTTCTGTTATTTGGTAGCGTTCTCTGTATGTGATTATATAGCGCCAGTTCATAATGTTCAAATAAGGATTGTCTCCGCCAAGACCCTCAGACTTCATACTCTCAAAACTTCATATTTAAACCGCTCAGAGCTATATGGCTATTAGCTAGATGGAATCTGGATATTAGCAAAATGGGACTGCATTGTATTGGCGGAGAATAAAAGTTCGTAGCGGTTTTAAGTAAATTTCAAACACAATATTTAAATGTTTATACAAAGATTTATTCAACGAAATATGTTAATTTTTTGTTACACTAACTTTCGCCAATTTTGAGCCAACTTCATGATTCGATTCTTCCAATCTTTCTTTGTGGTGAAAGTGGTCCTTACAGACTTCCATAGAACTGAATTTCTTCCCCTTAGAAGAATTTTGTAAGGATCGAAATAATTATTAAGCCGAAGCTGAAAAATCAGGTGAAATCGGTTTTAAGAATTCGAGAATTTTGAGCCAACTTCATGATTCGATTCTCCCAATCTTTCTTTGTGGTGAAAGTGGTCCTTACAGACTTCCATAGAATTGAATTTCTTCCCCTTAGGAGAATTTTGTAAGGATCGAAAAAATTATTAAGCCGAAGCTGAAAAATCAGGCGAATAATAAACATGGACAATGAACAGCAAAAAAAAAAATGGAAAAGAAATTAGATGTCATGTATACACGGATGTTACGTGTTACACTGAATCTATCCTGGAATTAGCAGTCTGCAAAAAAGCAGCTTTGGGACTGTCTGCTCCCCATTCACAAGAAGACAAAAGCAAAGATTTACGGAGAATTTCTTGGGTGGAGGATGAGGATGAGCTTATCATTGACCCCAAACCACAGATACGCTACAAACGATCATCCATTCAAAAATACATTTAGTAAATAGGTGAAAACATAGGATGTCAGACTGAAGAACATATGGCTGGAAATAGTTGATAAATGAAGGCCGAGATGTCACAAGGATCCGTGCATTATATGGAAGCCGCTAATAAAGAAAGGAAATCATCGGCAGCAGCAGTCAAAACATGACAGACAGCAGCAGTTGTAACCTAATCATCATCATCATCATCAGGAGTTGCAACCTAATCATCAGTAACAACTGTTGCAACCGAATAAGACTCTACATTTGCTACATTCTACTGGACAATGCTCCACTAGTTAAGAAACAGGCGAGAAATAACTAAACAGTACTAATCGTCTACATAAATAAAGTGTTCAGTTCAGAATTCCCTGTAAGCTACCCAGACCGATATACACCCGAGGAAGGGTGGCGATAACAGCAACAAATCTGAGGACATTAAGAAGAGTAATGGATAGCGGTTTGGATTGAGGAGAGCCGAGTTCGAATTCCAGTCGAATCCATTACATTCACTTACGTGCTAATACACTTAGGAAAGGTGTCACTCCTCTTCTTCTCTCTCCAGCTATGGGTAAATAGCAGGGCAGCCTTGGATGACAACTAGTCTAGGAGAAGGACAACTCTGAATTCAAAAACCTGCGGAGGGTCGTTTGGGGCGCGTAGTATTCTGTATTCGGCCCTTCAAAATGTGTGGATGGTTCTGCACAAAACCTTCACCACTATAATCAAATCTCATGTGCTGGTGTCGGGCTGTCAGTTTTTCTAGGAACTGATCTGCTTGACCCTCATACGTTGAATCCCAACGGGAGAGTCGAGAGTATGTACATGTATATACATGAAACCTCTATCACTGATATTGAGCACTTTCCACTAAGTGTCCACACATATATATATATATATATATATATATATATATATATATATATATGAATTAGTAGTAATTTATTATAATGAATTAAGTGTCATGTCAACTAACACCATCAGTCCTGTTTGATAAATCCCAAGCGGGTTCGTTCCCCAACTCGAGCATTACCTTTCGGTCGGTCGGGAGGTGATCATTACCCAGTATCAAGAATTTATTGATGGTAATATTTTTTGGCAAAAATGTATTGCTGCTAATATTTTTTCAAAGTGTTTTGACCCCAGTTTGGGCGTCACCTATTTGCCCATAGCTGGAACCATAACAGGTGCTACCAACCCGGGTCAGGGTGGATCTGAGGACACCAGTAAATAAGAGGTGGTTCCACGCTCCTCAAAACCTCCTGATCAGAGGCCTTGCTGTTGGACGTAGTTTATTGTCTTACCCAGGACATAGATGTAGATTCAGACAAAAAGCAATTTCGTTTTACAAATGTAACGAGATTTAAATGAAATTGATATTTCTTATTTTCTAAGTGAGTAAATGTATTTTTCTACTGTAGAGTATCACTGTTCGTTGTGCTGAGCTCTCGATTTTTAACAGGCAACACGAGGCAAGAAAGATTGAGGGAACCATTAAATAACTCAACTATTTACTCCTGTCTCAAGAGTTAGTCTTGTTTAGTTGCATAAAATCAAATTGGCAGCTGGTCTAAAAAAAAAAAATACTTACAATCTGTTGTTTACTGGGACAAGGAATAGTAAACAGATAATCTTTACTAAATGCTTCTTAGGTCAGGAAATTGTAGAGAACAAGGACCACCATATGTCCCGAAAAGACAGAACATGTAGAAAGAAGAAGAAGAAGAAGAAGAAGAAGGAGGAGGAGGAGAGGAGGAGGAGGATGGAGAAGAGGGAGGTGGAGGGGGAGGAGAAGAAGGAGCAGAAGGAGGAGGGGGAGGAAAAGGGGAGAGTGAGAAGGAGTGAGAAGGAGGGGGGATGAGGAGGAGAAGGAGAAGAAGAAAGAGGAGGAGGAGAGAAGGAGAAGAAGGAGGAGGAGAAAGAAAAGAAGGAGGAGGAGAAGGAGGAGGAGAAGAAGGAGGAGGGGAGGAGGAGGAGGGTTAGGAGAAGGTGAAGAAGAAGGAGGAGTGCTTCCAAACAAAGCTTTTACTTTTGTCTTTTAAGTTTTTAAAGGACTTGGATAAGGAGATGAGTTCCCCCACATTTTCTCTGTGTTATTTCCCTTCAGGGTGTGAGCTCTCATGCCTATCCATTAACATCCGATCCTTTTCAAACTCTGAAAAATGTTACTATTTCTTCCATTCATCCCATTTACTCATGCACTCCTAGCAAATCAATCTCTCCTAATCACTGTTCTGTCATCCAATTTCACGAGCACGTTAGGGAGTTTACGCATTTATTTCCTATCTCCCTCATACCTTCAATATACCTTGTGAGTTTCAAATTTTCCGAGTCCTCTTTCCTAATTATGCACCCTTGAAATTTCAACTTTGTCTTTCTGATGTTACGTACAAGTGTCTATTTGTTTCCTTTTTTTTCTAAAGCTTCGTCGTTGGTCACGTGTTCAGACTATGATATTCTCAGCATCCTCCTGTAGGACCACATTATTGCTGTCTCAAGTTTCTTCTTCATATGTGATAGGATTCTCCAGCATTCACTACCATATAGGAGAATCGATATTGCATAACACTTTATTAATCTTTCTTTTGTTTCTAACGAAATATTTCTGTTCCTTAATACTTTGTTTAGCTTTTGGAAGGCATTTTTCACTGTCACATTTTTCGTTCCTGTTGAAACACTTCCTCGATATTTAATTTATTGTACTTGCTTGATTTTAGTATTTTTTTAGGGATTTTAGATAGATAGATAGATAGATAGATTTTGAAAATAGATTTTGAAAACAGATAGAAAGATTTTAAAGATAGATTGATAGATAAATATTTAAAATACTTTTTGAAAGAAATTAGATTTTTAAAAAGATTTAGAAAACACAGATAAATTCTGAAAATAGATTTTGAAAACAGATATATAGATAAATTTTGAACATAGATTTTGAAATAGATAGGTAGATAGACAGATAGATAGATAGATTTTGAAAACAGATATTGAAAATGTTGAAAAGAGATCGATTTTGAAAACAGATAGATAGATAGATAGATAGATAGAGAGATAGATATTAAACAGACTGAGATAGATAGATAGATAGATAGATAGATAGATAGATAGATAGATAGATAGATAGATAGATAGATATTAAACAGACTGAGATAGATAGATTTTGAAAACACATATTGGAAATAAATAAATTGTGAAAATAGATCTATTTTGAAAACAGATAGACAGATAGGTAGAGAGATAGATAGATAGATAGATATTAAACAGACTGACATAGATAGATAGATAGATAGATAGATAGATAGATAGATAGATAGATAGATAGATATTAAACAGACTGACATAGAGAGATAGTTAGATAGATAGATATTAAATAGATAGATAGATAGATAGATAGATAGATAGATAGATAGATAGATAGATATTAAACAGACTGACATAGATAGATAGATAGATCGATAGATAGATATTAAATAGACTGAGATAGATAGATAGATAAATAGATAGATAGATAGATATTAAACAGACTGAGATAGATAGATAAATAGATAGATAGATAGATAGATACATAGATAGATAGATAGATAGATAAATCGATAGATAGATAGATATTAAACAGACTGAGATAGATAGATAGATAGATAGATAGATAGATAGTGTCTCCAATTGTAATTTGTATACTCTTCCTTTTGCTGACAAGCATTCTGTCTTCTTGCAATCAATGTTTAGCCCTGTCTTCTCGCTTTTCTTCACTTCCTTCTGTTGACATTTTTATAGTTTCTTTTACATAACTGCTAAAAAAAAATACCGTGCCAGCTGTAAATCTTATGCTGTTAAAATTGTGGCTGCCACTTATGAAGCCTACTGGACTTTTAAATTTTGCAGAATTAACTTAATGTACAAATTGAATAGATCCGGTGGGAATACACATTCTTCAGTGTCTGTCTATATTTCTGAGATGATGTATTATGTACACCTGAAGAAGGCCGAAGCGTACAACAGCCGAAACGTTGTAATAAATATGGCGACAATGATGAGAACAATAGTCTGAATAATGTAAATAGTGTACATAATACCTCATCTCTGAAATATAGACAGAAAAATTTCATCCTTTTTTCTAATTTTTTTAATTTTTGTAAGCGATATTAACAACAAAAATTGCAATATGAACTCTGGTAAAAAACATAAAATGATAACAGGAAAATTGCAATATGAGAACTGGTAAAAAAAAACAGCTGCTGAAAACATTAGGTTTATAATACGCAGAAGTTCGTACACAAATGTCATCAGTGGATAAAGGCGTTGGTTAGATCGAGTGACAGGACCCAAAGAGTGTGAGTTCAATACCCGGCTAAGGCAGTGGAGAACTTGGAGAGGGAAATTAACAGGAGATAACTGATAACTGACATTCATTAGACATTGCACGTGGAACAAGAACAGTCTAACCAAGTGAACGAAAAAAAGGGTTAAGTTTGACGTTCCAACCTGAAGAAGGCCGGAACGTACAACGGCCGAAACGTCGTAATAAATATGGCGACAAAGATGAAAACAATAGTCTGAATAACGCAAATAGTATAAGGATTCTTGTTTTACACACTTTTCTATTGTTTATATCTACACTGAATCCCCTATCATTTTAGTATGTTTTAGATATTCACTGTACCTTTTACATAATTTTGATAAATATTTTGTTCTAATCAATTTGAAGTCTTTACACTTCGCATGTTGGGATCTTCGTTTTGTTGACAACTATATATTTTATTGATATTAAATCTATTTTTCTCGCTTTCCTTTACGTCCTTTACTATGAAGTAATGTAGTTTTTTTTCTGTGTCAGCTCTCAACACTGGGTTATATATACAGCTACTGTTGTTAAGATTGTAAATTATGTGGGTGATTGATGAGGAAGCTGATTCTTTTGCCTTATAGCAAAAAAGCAAATAGTATTGAATAAATAATAATTTTTTCCGTCCTGGGTATAACGATAAACTACATTCGCGTCCTGTGTAAGACGATAAACTACGTCTGGCAGCAAGGCCTCTGATCAGGAAGTTTTGAGGAGCGTGGAACCACCTCTTAATTGCTGGTGTTCCCACGCCCAATCTGACCCTGTGGGGTAGCACCTGTTAGGGTCCCAGCTATGGGAAAATAGTTAACCCCGAAACTGAGTTAAAATGCATTATGAAAGCGTAAAGATAGGTTTTGATACCAGAAATACTTTGTAAAAAGATTATTACCAGAAATAAATTTGTCAAGAAAAAAATACTATTACCAGCAATATATTTTTGAAAAAAAAAATATTACCAGCAATACATTTTTTAAAATAATATTACTAGCTATACATTTTTGAGGAAAAAAATATCATCAGAAATAGATTTTTGACAAAACAAAATATTACTAGAAAAAAAAAGTTGTCGGCATTAAATGACCCATTGAGGTTGATATACCGTAAAACATAACAAATCAAACCAATAATTATCACCAACTGAGAAATAAAAGAAAAAAGATGAATGAAAACTGGAGAACAAAGAAAAGGTTTAAGAAAAAAGTAAAATAAATATTTACAGTATTTTAAAGTTAGGTTGAGTCAAAAAAAAAAAAAAAAAAGGCCTGACAATAGTCGCATTACTTTTTGTCCTTCGTTTTTCGGCCTTTTAACCTGGATTATTTGAATTTGATTTCGACTGAATAGAAGGGAAGAATCCAGCCGACTTGCCATGCCACCGTACCAGTGAGAAATTCTTGAAATGACAAATGATTCATCGTGTCATACTAACTCATTAAGTAAGAAATGGCACCTGCGATATGAGAAGATATTGGAAAGGGGCGGCAATAAATACAACTCTGCCACCTTCAATGTGAAATAAAGGGGGCCGAACACACATCATCTCTATTCTCACGATCTTTTTACCCCCTTTCTCTCTCTCTCTCACACTCTCTTTCTCTCTCTCTCTCTCTCTATATATATATATATATATATATATATAGTCATGACTGGCTGTTGGTCTCTGAGGACACCTGTCTGCTAGGGCGTCTGGATAATCCATGTTACAGACGCCTGTTCAGGCACATATGCATTGTCCACCTGTTTGGGCCTGCAACTATGCTGAGTGGATCTGAGTTAGACATTTTGTGTGTGTGCGTTTGTGTGTGTGTGTTTAAGTGTGTGTGTGTGTGTGTGTGTGTGAGAGAGAGAGAGAGAGAACGAGAAAGAGAGAGAGAAAGAGAGAGTGAACGAGAAGAGAAGAGAGAGAGAGTGAACGAGAAAGAGAGAGAGAGAGAGAGAGAGAACGAGAAAGAGAGAGAGAAAGAGAGAGAGAGAGAGTGAACGAGAAAGAGAGAGAGAATGAAGCTGGCGCAATCAGTAGTTATAATGCCGGTATGCTTAAACCCTCGGTCACGATGACATGTTACTTCGGCGACTTTTGTATAGTCCAGTTAGCCTAAATTTCATCCACATCCCTGGGGTCAGCCAATTGACCAGTTGTATAATCATCAAGAACTTTACACTTCCCATATACATCTGGGTAATTACACACACACACTAACACAAATCTATATATATATATATATGTGCGTGTGTGCGTGCATAAAAAACGTATTTTTTCCTCAGTTTCTTCTTTAAATAATTTTAAACATAATATGGATGAAATTTAAACTTTACACTTTCCATATACATCTGGGTAATTACACCCACCCACACACACAAATATATATAAAATGTGCATAAAAACGTATTTTTTTCCTCAGTTTCTTCTTTAAATAATATTATAATTTTAAACTTAATATAGTTTAAATTTTAAAAATCGTAAGGAATATATATATATATATATATATATATATATATATATATATATATATATATACGTGTGTGTGTGTGACAATGACAACAGATAGATAGGTATACATAGATAGTCACAGTGAACTTCATAGTGGCCATAGATAGATAGATAGATAGATAGATAGATAGATAGATAGATAGTAACAGTAACAGTTTGAGATAGCTAGCTAGCTAGCTAGCTAGCTAGATAGATAGATACATAGATAGATAGATGTACAAACGACTTAGCTTCCGACTTCAAGCTTGGTAATTAATCTATCAATGACTTCAATAAATTGAATGTACTAACAGATATTATGTGTATATTTAATTGTAAATAGCTACTTAAAAATGAAAACACGAAACATTTACTACAAATTGATTTCAAACCTCTTTCATACTAAAACAATTATAACGTGGCCTGAAATTGTTCGATTATATATTTTTTATAATTGTTAAAACAAAAGGTGCAAAAAATATACATAAATACACAGCGCCCCCATCAATGTCTATTGAAACATGAGCATCTATTATATATATATATATATATATATATATATATATATATATATATATATATATATATATATATATATATATATATATATATATATATATATTACTTATAGCAACAAAACATTTATGTAATAGTTTTTAATTGCAATATGTTTATAGTTATTTACTCATCGTAGTTTGGATGTTACCCAATGCTGGATGTGTGAGTACCCAGTGATGATAAAATTCACTACTCAGTCGCAATTGATATAGCAGGATAACCTTGCTAACCATTTGACCATGTGAAGTGCCCGAATGATTTTCTGAGAGTAGCTTAGACGTGGCACAAGGCATAAAGTTTGAAGCACTCAGTGAGGATCGTCGTAATTAATCCAGCAAAACAAGATTCTAAACCATTACACCAAGTTCCCTTTAATTTTCTAAGCGTAGATGTGGCACGAAATCAAAAGTTTAGGCCTGCCATTGAGGATCGAACTCACTACTCAGTCGTAATTGTTCTAACGAGACAAGCCTGCAAAACGCTACACCACACACAAGGGCCCAATGAAGGATGTTTATACGTATAATTTGTCTTCTGGCCGCTTGACTATCGCGGTCCCGTGGAATTCTGGGAGCGTCCTGAAGCTGGGAAGCGTATCTGTAATGTCTTGTTAATTTATGCATAGAATATTATTGTATATTTATTTTCAAGTAGGTGTCTGTCTTTTAGTCTTTTCTTTCGTTTTATTGGTTGTTGGTTTTTCTTTTTATTTGATTGGTTCTTTGGTCACCTTGTAAAAACAGAACCTTTTGAAGAATCGTCATTCTCAAGAAACTTCGAAGTCGGAGAAAGCAACAACAAAAAATTGATATCAAATTTAAGTAATCTTTTTATATAATAATATATATGTGTGTGTGTGTGTGTGCATGGCTGCCTGCGTGTGTGTGTGTGTGTGTGGCAAGGATGAGTGATGATCGCATAACAAAAGTTCTTTTTTTACAGTGAACTCCATAGTCGTCATAGAAATGTTGGTAGACCTTGGCTCAGATATAAAGATAAACTGAAAACCAACCTTTCTTGAATCAACATTCCATTCAAGAACTTTGAAGAGGTAGCTAAGGAGAGATCAGAGTATCGTTCTAGCTGCCATTCAGCAATAATACACCATCAAGAAGTAAGCATCAGTCAACTGGGTGAAACACGAAAGCAAAATAAGACAGCTAACAGTGTTCCTGCTGCATTTGGATACAATACATTCTCCTCTAGTGCTTGTGTTTTTTTGGGCAATTCTCGAGCCGGTCTCAAAAGTCATGCTCATCATAGACGTGCAGATAATTAGTTCATAGTCGTGGATTATTGAAGCTATATACATATAAAACAGCTGAAACCTAACCTAAACAAAATAAACTATGATATCTCCACAAATATCCTTAAATGTCTATCATTGGTAACAGAAGCCATTGGATTATACCAACAGCTTCCCATACTTAATACTTCTTGAATTCACTCTCGTGTGGTCATGTGTGACGTCATAAGCTGCGGTGCGATTTTTGCTTCCAACGTCTTATATGAACGTGTTTATCGTTGTTTGGAAATCATCCATGTAAACAGAAACAGACTATGATCACATTCTTGTCTGTATATTGCATAATATATTGTACAGTAATTGTCAACTTTGATAATGGCTTTTTGTAAGCCGAAAGCTTAGATTGGATTAAAAAATATTTATCAATATTGTGATGTTCTTTCTTCGTTTAATGATAAGGTTAAGATTATCAGACGTTATGAAAAGAAATTACAAAAAATAAATAGACAACACTTGTTTATATTATTTAATGGAACATGTATGAAAAATGCTGCCTAAATACACACAATATATAGATATATGTGTGTGTGTGTGTGTGTGTGTGTGTGTGTGTGTGTGTGTGTGACAATCATGGAATATCCTTTTTAAATTAGTTGCTTATATATAATCCTGACGCGAACTTACAAATAAACATCGATACGAACAGATTAACAAAATTGGGCGCGAATACATGTTGAGAGAACCACTAAAAATGTATCTTTGTTTCTAAATTCTTCGTATTTCAGTGTCACATTTTCCGTACCCAGTTAAGTCACTTCCTATATATGTTGTTTCATATCTATCTATCTATCTATCTATCTATCTATCTATCTATCTATTCGCGTTCTCGTGGAGTTGATTTACAATTGTGTCTTAAAAGAGTGGTGTACAGTAATATCAATCTATTTTCGGGGTGTATGACAAAATCTGTTTGGCCTTGAAAAATATTGCGTCATCCGTGATTGCATCAGATTTTTATCGCGTCCAGACGCTATTGTCTCGACTGTCGATTAGTTGTCCTACGGCCATTGTCTACGATGGACGTTACTCGAAAATTGTAACGCTGCACGAAAACATTGGCAAGCCTTACTAGTGAGCAAATCAAAGTACTATAGAGTGGCCCAAAAACTCTCCTAATATTTAAATTAGGAGAGTTTGGGACCTACTCTGTAGTACTTCGTGGAATGATACGAAGTACTAACATGTCTACTGGCTCATGTTTCATTGGAAAAATATGAAAAAATGTACATAATAACAGAATTATTCGTTTTGTTTCAATTAATTTGTACACGGGTGTAGGTGAACATGGCTCTCCACATCTTCCTGTATAATTAATTTGCATAATGTTGTAGGTGATTAAGATCCTCCACATCTTCTTGCATAATTAATTTGCACAAGGGTGTAGGTGATCATGGCCCTCCACATTTTACTGTATAATTAATTTGCACAGGGGTGTAGTTTCCCTGCGCCTTTACTGTATATTTGTTTATGGTAATTGTCCTGATGAGCTTTTGTCATTGATACTTCGAATCCATGAATTGAAGCGAATTACTCGATTGGCTGATAGGTCACATGCTTTCAGTGTTGAAACTGTTAGTTGTAATCGTAAGTTCTATGCTAATGATTATAGTAATTGCTTCTGGCTTCTTGCTTTCCTATCAAATCTGATCTTCAAAAATGCAATGTCAGTCGTAATCTATACCTTGTATCCTGGGCGTTTACTGTCCCCACTGTTTATCTTCACTCTCAGTACCCCTTGCATTTTCGTGGTTTTATTACCTTGTCTAAGGTGAAAAATACCTTATTTCTCGTTAGAGGCTATATCCTTCATATCACTTGTGACAAATTTCCATGTCGGAAATTAAGAGAAAATATAAGAAAGTATACTGTTAAATATTTTATTCCCAGTATGATAGACAAACTCAGATTTACGTCAAAATATCTCACGCTGAGAAATAATTTATTCTAAATATTTCTATTAAAATATGCAGAAACAAAATCACAAGTGCCCCTCGACGTGGAATAATGGCTAACAATCTTGTTCTCGCTTGAACAGTTTCGACTAAGTACTGATTTCAGTCCTCACTGGGTGCTCTATAGTTTCGGCCTTGTGCCACATCCAAACTACGCTTAGAATATCACCTTATTAAAAGATCACAATGTATTTTCTTCAGCGGTATAATGTCAGTTTTATAACGGGGATCACCCGAGTTTTAGATTTTTTAACCACAGACCCCTTTCCCCGGATGACCCAGTCAGGGCTGTTCGAACCCTGATCTACCTACCCACAGTTGGATATTACTCCATGCACTTTCAGTTCCACTTTGGTAGTGTTGTGGAGTTATTTCGCAGTGGAGGCTTGTATTTGTACTAAATCGACCCTAAAATAGGTTCGACGTACAAAACGTTAGGAACTTGATATAATAGGTATTACGCAGAGTAATCTTGTTGCGGTCGCTGACTACTTTCGTATTCGACTAGCTGTCGACTACTGTCGTCCGACATCGACACTATTTAGTAACTGCCCCACACAGTCACATGTGGCACAAGGCCGAATTTAATGTGGGGTTCCCGAGCTTGGCCAAAAAATCCCCGTAGACGCCGCATAAACGGGATCTGGTCTGTCTACCTCCCCGGACGAAACTCTGCCCTTCGGCATAGTCTCATCCGGGTTCCTCTCTGCCCGAAGGCAGAGAGTTCGACTGTCGTCCGACATCGACTGGTATTTAGTCACCTCCCCACCGCACGAGGGTATCATGTGGCACAAGGCCGGTTTAACGTGGTATCCCCGAGCCCGTGGACTCGGCCAAAAATATACCCTTTAAACCCGTATAAACAGGTTCAGGGTCGGTTTACCTCCCCGAACGAGACTCCGCCCTTCGGCGTAGCCTCGTTCGGGTTGGTCACCGCCCGAAGGCAGAGAGAGCAACAGTTCAGCCGGTCGTCCGACATCTCGTTTTTCTTACTACTTCTACTTATATTAGATGGGAGAGTCTATTAATTATAGAATAGCTATGTTTCAGCATAACAGGTAGCTTCATTGGTGGATTCCAAATTTTAACGTTTCAATGACGTCATCATGAACCAATGGTCGTTAGGCATTAAACAATCACCGTTAATTCGATTATATTTACACAATGTTTGATTATGGCGCCTTTTTTAACAGAATAAAAAATACGTTTGTCGAGAAATGTTCTAATCAACATTGAATAGCATAATAAAATCTAACATTGTATTCCATAAGTAAGGAGGAAGTTTGAAAGAACAAACTCCTGATAAGATCACTACAACCTTAATCTCTTCAAGCCTAAGGTCAGTCCTTATCTATGATATATAACCTCATAATCTATTAATACAAATCTTACACTCATAAAACAACCCCATTCAGTAACACTCTAACTTCAGTGGCTCTTGAGCCTTGTATTACGTAGACAATAGCGTAAAAGTATTAACAAAGATTATGTTTCGATATTTTTCACCCGATAAGAATGATTCAAAAACTACAAAAAATATAACAATTAATGATTATCATTCTTCAGTATTTTAATACATAATAGTGTATTGATTAATTATTTAATTAATAAATGCATGTAGGTGTGACTATCGTAAAGGCCATCGATGCGGAAAATGGAAATGTAGATCCGAGTTCAAATTCATCACTATCCCTCTTCACCGCCGTGCGTGGATTTTATAGGACAGGATAGACTGCGTTTTTAGGCTTGTGTTGCGACCGTTGCGAAAGGAACAGTTTCTTGAATTCGAATGTGTAGAGAAGGCAAAGGGAGATAACTCCCGTCTCTTTCCAAAGATGTAACAGTCCAAAAACATTGAAGAAATCTGTAGAGGGCCAACACCACTGATATCAGGAGGAGATATGCCATTAGTAAGAAAATCCGTTCAAAATCAATTCACACAAACGTCTACACAGTTCAACGGCTAAAAGAATTGCAACGCTTAAAAATCAAGTGTCATTTAAATATCACTGCTGGTACTCAGATAATTTATTAAGGAATC